ATTCCTCCCAGCAAGCACTGCCTCTAACGCACGACATTGGGGACTGCGAATCCCAGCATGCCTCGCGCCCAGGCGCTCGGACTACACGTCCCACAATGCACCGCCCGCCCTTTTCTTGCCGCCCCCCGCCTCTGCTCTCCGGAGACCCTGCGGAGCGAGCGCCACGACTCCTTCCCGGCGCTCTTCGCGCGGTCTCGCGGTGACTCTGGTGCGTGGGGTCAAGGCGCGGGGCAGAGCTGCTGGGGTCGGGGCGTCATGCGGAGGGGTGAGCGCAAGGGCGCCGAGGGGCCGCGGCCGGGGTCCCCTGTGCCCGTGGGCAAGGCCTCGCTGGAGGAGCCGCTGGACGGCGCGGCCGCGGGCCGAGCGAGCGGGCCGGCCGCTGGCCGCCGCAGCACCGAGTCAGAGGTCTACGACGACGGCACCAACACCTTCTTCTGGTGAGGGACGGTGGTTCGCTTCAGTGCCGGCTGGGGTCGCGAGGGGCGTGGCCACGTCGTGCGGGTTGGGGGTGCCCGCAGGACCTCGGGACCGGCCCCTTGCTGCTGCAGTCCCCGGTGGTCCAGCCCCTCATCTCTACCCCCTGCCCCCTATCCTGGGAGGACTTGGCTCCGAAGTCACCTCAGAAAGGCTTTTCCTGCCCTCCCTGTCCGCAGTCCCCCTCTGCCCTCCGTCGTGATCCCTTTCGCTGACGGTGCTGATGCCGTGTGAAATGATCGTCTCCTCCCCCGGCACGTGGCGGTAATATCTACCCTTACTCCGCTCCAGGAGCCGAGCGAACGAGTGCAGAGGAAGGCTCTTCCTCTCTTTAGTGGCTCCTCGCCAGGCCAGCCCTTTGACCCCTGTGCAGCTCGGTCCCGGCCAAGCCTCGGGGTCAGGCTGTCCTCTAGTCTACCTTCGCGCGGGTCAGGGAGGGAGGGGCCTCCAGGAGCAGAGTTGGAAGAGTTCTTGGTGTTGCTTTAGGCCAAGTTGGGCACTTCTGCGTTTGAGGGGCCAGGAAAGCAGTCTTGGACCAACAGGTCCCAGGTGTGGCTCGTGCACCTGATGGCTCAGTGACCTTGGGCTACCCTTCGCCAGTCTGAGCTTCTCTTTCCTTGCTTCTTAGAGGCACAAACCCCATACGCTAGAAAGTGTGCTTCTTGAGAGGAGGGCTGTGGCTGTTCTATGCTGCTCAGTTCACGGCCACCTAAAGTTGTATCCCGTGGTAGGCCCTGGGGACATTTGTGGCTTTGGTGCCAAGAGAGCTCATGGGAGAGACAGACGTGTAGGCAGCAAGGATGCCACGTGGAAGCAGCTCCTCAGAGAGGGAGACTGGGGCCGCAGAGAAAATGCGATCAGGAACGGAGGGGAGGCTGACGGAGCCACTGGACAGTCGGTGAGGTGCCACACGGCTGGAAACCTCAGGGGAGGTGTACGTGAGGCCGCTGGTGTCTTGCCTGTATCTGACTCGGGAGAGACAGGGAAGCGGATGTGGTGGGGGAGGCATCCCTGCATCTAACGAGGTCGGGGAGCCCCGGGATCTTCCCTGTGGGTGTGGGCAGCTGCTGCTGGGGGTGGCCACCCAGCCCTGCTCTGGGAAGATACTGTGCTCCAGTGGCCTGGAGCCAGGGGGAGGGGGAGAGGGGTGGGGTGCCCTCCTCGGCGGGGGTGTGGCCCCAGAGCTAGAGACATTCTGTGAGTGGACCAGGCGTCTCCTGCTCGGGGGACAGGGCCCCTTCAGACTTCAGGACAGAGGGCACCATCCTCCGACAGCCCGGCTGGTGACCACAGGAGGGAGACTGAGGTTCTGGAGTGGTGCCCAGGCTTGCTTTCCTTTACCATTCATTCAGTGCATATTTTGGGGGTGCCAGTTGCTGTTCTAGGGGATACAACAGAGAACTAAGCAAGAAACTTAGGTTCTGGCACAAGACTGGAGCCTCAGAAGGCTCAGCATGTTGGCCGAGGGGGTGCTGAGCGGTGCTCACAGAAGCCAGAGGGTAACGAGGGCACGTGCGGGTTTCTTTAGAAGCACAGAGCAGCGGCCCGCGGGTCCCTGCCCATGGGGACACAGAAAGGCCCGCCGTAGCAGCGCTCACTTGTGGGGAGGCCTGATGGAGCCAGGAGGGCGCGCTGCGGGGCTGCCAGTTCCGGTACCGGCCTCCTGGGTGGGTGTCTGCAGCCTCCGCACCGCAGGTGTGTGGGGTGCTGGCGTGTGTGGTTGTTGCTGCGTCCCGGGCCTCTGCTCTCACCTGTCGAGGGGAAGAAGCTTCACGTTTCCTCAAGGCAGGTAACCAGATGCTCACCTGGCGAGAATGACTTACTTTTACTTGCAGGGCCCAGCCACTTACCTTCTTTTGAGTCTCTCATCATTGACTTGCTGTGCTGGGATTTTAAAACCTCTTTATTTTGAGTTTTAGGGAATTTTATTAATGGATGTTACCAAAAAATTAACATAAAGACTAAAAAGTATGTATTTGTGGAAACAACCATATGTTCCAAAATTACTGGAAAGAAGTCTTGCATGTTCAAAACCTTATTTTTACAGTTTTCGTTTCCAAAGGAGCTTGGGCTTCTTGGGAGCCATGTATGAGGATTGTGAGTTTCTCTGTCATTACTTGTCAGCCACAGAGTATGGAATTAGGATTCAGCTGTGGAGCCCAAGGCTGGGCTGCCCCAAACTGGACCTCGGGGAAGGGGCAAGAGGACCGCTGGGGTCTGCGGTGGCACAGACACCACCTCTTCTGCCAGTCGTGGTTGTCTTTATCGGGGAACACCTGGTGGAAACGTTCAGGACAGCAGACACAGTGCAAAGATGCGGCAGCTCAATTTGTCTGAAAATTGTTCTGGACGCTCTTGGAGACCCAGTGCCCCGACGGGTGCCTCTGGACGTAGCCACCTATAGGTGGAAGATAGGTGAATCGCCGTTGGGTTACCACGCTTGGAGTCAGGGACAAGATGGATGGCTGTGACATTTTGGAAATGCTCACTGCATGCCCACATCTTACAGCATTGAGCGTCTGGTGAGCGCGGGCTCTGCCGTCAGCAACACGTCTCACAGGAGCTGTGAGAATCTGCGGGGCAGATCTTAGACGCCCCATGTTCCCCAGTCAGTGTGGGTTGGGGTTTGCCAGCTTTGCCCACATCAGGGCAGCATGACTTGCCAGTTGGTGCCTTTTTGGTCCTGCTGGTCAGCAGGCCAGGAGGGTCGGTGGCCCCAGGTGCCTCTCGCAGGCCTGGGACAGGCCTTCTGGTCTTGACGTTCCCTGGCCGAGCCGCCGCTGTGCACTCGGTCTCACAGCCACATCTTCGTACCTTCTCTGATTGGTTTGGCGGGCTGCCTCCCTGCCCGCTCGGTATGTGAGTATGGTCACCTCTAGACAGGGGCTGACAACTGGGTATTTTCCGCTCGCCGTGGCAGGGAGCCTGCTGTCTTCATGCCCTCACCCTGGCCCAGTGGCTGGAGTCACAGGATTTACGGCCGATCTCTCCCTGTGCCTGGATCCCCCACGTCATCTGTTAGTCACTCAACCAAACGGTGCATTTGTCTTCCTGGGCACCGGGAACTAGGAGCAAGAGGTCGTTGCCCAGCTCTGGCATCCGAGAGGGACACGGAGTCTTCCCTGCCGTCCTGCGCCACCGACCTGTTGTTTTTATCACGTCTCTGTGGCCACAGTGAGCATGCAGAGCTTTTCCAGCCCCAGCATCCTCGCTTTGCCACATCAAGTCCATCTCAATCCTTCTGGCCTCTCCCCTTGGGCTCTGGTGGCCCCCGTCACACAGTGTTCGTGAGGACAGTACCTGATCTGCCCAGCCTTCCCATCTCAGCGGCTCCGTCTTCCTTCCTGGCCACCTAGTTTCCTTCTAGTCTCACTTCCCTTCTGTCTGGAGACCTTCCTGGAGTGAGTGATTCTTTTAGAGCAGGTCTGCTGGCACCGGATTCTCCACTTCCTCCTCCATCCACGAATGTTTAGTTCACCTTCGTTCCTCAAGGATGTTTTTGCTGGACATGGGGTCCTGGTTTAGCATTTCTTTTCTTTCACTGCTTTACAAATTTTGTCCCATTTCTCTGGCCTCCATGGTTTCTGAGGAGAAATCTGAGCTCAGACTTGGTGTTTGAGCTGAAAAGAAGCCTGGTGAGGAGTCTGTGCTGCGGTGGCTGAAAAGCAGGGACCTTTGGGACCAATTCTAGCGTCTTGATTTCTGACTTTATTCCTGTTTTTTGCTTTTTTCCTCTGGAAATGCTCACCAGGGTAGGCGTGACCCTGCCTCTTGGGGCAGGCAGTGGGCATTCTGGAGCTCAGGAGACCGGGCCTGCCTGCCTGCCTGCCTGCCTGCCGGCCTGCCTGCCTGCCAAGGGTGCTGTCCCGTGGCTCCGCCCACGGCCCGCCAGGCACGTCTACACAGGCCTGGAGCTGAACCCCACCGGCTCTGAGCGGTTCTGCTCAGTCACGCTCGGCCGGCTTGGGCTCCACGTCCTGTCCAGCACGTCAGCTGTACCTTCTGGGCAGATCCAGACCAGCCACTCCCAGCATCTCCTGCCCGCCCTGGAGTGTCGCAAGACAGCCCCGTCTGCTCTGGGCTCTGCAGTGGCTCTTGCCCCACCGACGTGAGCCTGGGCCTCCCAGGGCAGGACCCCCTCCTCCAGCCATGGTGGCTCCTCAGCCCTTTGCTCTCGTGTTGCTGGCCTGGACCTGCGTCCCCAGGTGTCCTGCGTGAGGCCCTCCCTAATTCTGCACCCCACCCCACCCCGTTTCGTTGACTCCATACCCAGCCCTCTGTGTGTCTTGCTGTGTTGGAACGACAGCTCAGGGAGGCAGGATTGGGGTTTGTTGTCACCTCGTAGCTGCTCTGTGCCGCTTAGTATCTGTGTCACTTAGGCCCACTGGCCCTGGGTCTCATCACCTCACGGCGAGGGTTTATGAGGTGATACAGGTGTGCTAGAGGCATCCTGAGCAGGGCTCAGGCCCCAGACACTCACCACCAAGCTGTGTGACCCTGACACTGCCGTTTACAGCTCTGACCAGCCTCAGGGGCCAAGGTGACGGAGAGGCCCATGACTTACCATTGTCACCCTCATAATCCAGATGCCCTCGGTCCCTGGTGGGTTCTCAGTGACTCTTGTTCTCCCTGCTAAAATCTGATGTCCCCTCTGGGGTGGGAAGGGTGGGCCATGTCCTAGACCCATGAGAGGCAGCTGAGTCCCTCTGTGTGTAGGTGTTGGCTAATGTCCAGCAGAGGATCAGTTTCTGGGTCACCACATCCAGAGAACCTTAGGAGTGAAGGTCTAAAGTAGGACCTTATAATGTAGTCTGTGTGCTGCAATTATTCCACAGATCTCTCAGGCACTGAAATGTTTACTATACAGAGTTCAGCTGAAAGGCTGAGATTTTCCTGAAGTTCCCTCATGGCCTAGGACTCAAATGTGAATATATTAATATTGAATTTTATGAAAATAGTTAAAATAGGAGTTTTTTTCACTTCTAATAGTTTTCAATGCCAGTATTGTGAAATATGGCAAAAGAATGTGCTCTCTGCTTTCTTTGGAGCTAACTTATCTGAACATGACTGTTTTTGTTTTCACAAAGAAAATAAAATTTAAGTGAAGGGCGTAACACCTGAATAGATGGAGAGATGCTCCTTGTCTTGTGGGTGGGGACTCTCGTCTAGTTGTGACTCGTCAGTTCTTCCAGGGCTAGTTTATGAATTCAGTGCAGTTCCAATTAGAATCCTACTAGAATTATTTGTGGCAGCTGTCAGACTGATGTCACAGTTAAGATGGGAGAGTAAATATGCAAGAACATTCAGGATGGCGAAGAGGGCTGGTCTGCCAGGCGTCGGGATGGGCTCTAGCTATGGTCCAGGTCTCTAGCGCCAGCCTAGTCTCATGCAGCCCCACTCTTGCTTTTTAGAAAATTACTTGAATCAAGGTACGATTGCTTTCCATAACACACACCAACTTGAGGGTCCGTATCCACACTCCAGCACCTTACACATGGTGTCCACCACCGGGGTAGGGATGCAGGACATTCCATCATCTTGGAAGCTGCTGCCCTAGCACCTCCCCCGCCAATCTGCCATCCGTGCTCTATCGCCACCTCTTGTGAGTCTTGTCGGTGGAAACAGACAGCAGGTTGCTTTCATGCCTGGCTGTCAGCATGGGGTTAACGTCCACATACAAGTCTTTGAATGGACATACGCTTTCATTTTTCACAAGTAAACACTTGGAAAGAATGGCTGGCTTGGGTGGTAGACTCTGTTTAACTTTGTAAGAAACTGGGAAGCTTTTTCAAAGCGGCTGCACCCTTTTGCAGCCCCACCTGGAACGTGTGAGTGTTGGTGGCTCCGCGTCCTCGTGAGGACCCTTCCTCGAAGGCACTCGTGCCGTCCGTGGTCCCGTCCCAGGGGCGGGCGCTGCTGACTGCCATGCTGCATGTCTGCTCCCACGGCGACCAGGGATGCTGCACATCTTTTCGTGTGGTATTGGCCATTTGTTGATCTTTTTCTTTGACGTGGGTGTTCAGTCTTTTGTTCGTGTTTCGGGAGATCGTCTTTATCGTTGAGTTGTAAGAGCTCTTTATGTGTTCTGGGTACAAAGGCCGTTGTCGGGTATATGTGTCATCAATGTTTTCTCGCAGCTGGTGGCTGGCTTTTTCGTTTCTTCACTGTGTGTTTCATGGAGTTTTGACGGGAGGCCAGTACTGGGCTCGATGCTTTTCGTGTGTTTGTTCACTCGTCTTCAGGGTGCCCTTCAAGGCTGGAGGTGCCCTTGTTTAGAAATGCAGGGCTGCATCGTCTCTCCACGGACACAGAAGCTGGGCCTCTGCCCCCTCTGCAGGCAGTTGTTCAGCGCAGAGGGGCCTGGGCGGGTATGTGACTGAGCGGCGTGCGGTCTGGTGCTGGACTTGTCGTGGGCCCTGGTTCCAGGAGAGGCCGCCCGCTGCCTGCCGAGCACCGCCCCTTTCCCACATCGGGGCTCTGGAGGCCCAGCCAGCGTGGGCAGGCGGAAGCAGGGAGCCCATGTCTCACCCCCACCGGGCAGCCGTCCCTCTGCCCGGTCTTCTGGGCTGGCGGTCGTGGCCAGCCCGCGCCCTTTTCGCTCCGGCCCTGGGGCCTCTCTCTGCCACCAGTGCTCCACTGTCATCCCGACGAATCTCTCAGCCATGGTCACTTCATGAATCACGAGGTTGGTCTCGGGGTGATCTTGCTCGGTGCCCGGAGCCCACTTAACCGGCCGCCTGGTCCCTCTGAACCAGAGCCGCCTGCCCGGGACGCCTCGAGCCAACGCGCCGTCCGCTCTCCCCGCCCGAACGGGCCGCCGCGCCGGCACAGGACCATCTGGGAGTCACGCAGCCGTAGCTGGCGCTCGGGGGATTTTGAGCCGGAGGTCGAGGGCCGAGCTCGCTCCTCTGGCGGCCCGTCGCGCCGCGGTCCCACGTGTGCTTTCCGTGCACCGACGCGGGCTGTTTGCGTTGCAGGCGGGCCCACACTCTGAGCGTGCTCTTCATCCTCACCTGCGTGCTGGGCTACGTGACACTGCTGGAAGAGACACCGCGGGACACGGCCTACAACACCAAGAGGTACCGGCCCGGCCCAGCCTCGCTCCACGCAGCTGGCGGGGTCTCTGGGTGCTGTGTGGCACTTTCAGCCCCTCTTCTGCCCGTCCCCATCCCCGGGATCGACAGCACGGCTCCCGTGGGACCCGCTGTTCACGCTGCATTTGCGCGCGGGAAACCGGAAGGTGCTGTGGCGGCTCCAGGGAGGGGTCTAAAGGGGTTCAGGTCAGTTCCGATGGGGCGGCTTCCCCACACATCCCACCCTCAGCACCCCAGGCCCCACCTGAGTGTGCCGCAGGTCAGCTCAGTTCTGACACCATCCCAGGCAGTGCCAGGCCCCACGGTCCCGGGCTCGGTCCGGCCAGATTGCATCCCCTCCCCACTTAGACCCCAGTCGCAAGAGCAGTCATCATCTGACGGGCTGTAAACCATAGGTTCCCACCGCCTCCTCCTTGGGTGCAATTAATTTGTTAGGGCGGCTCACAGAACTCAGAAGCATTTTACTTATTTATTATCAAAGGTTTTTTTATAGAAAGATGGAGGAACAGCTAGATGGGAGGGATGCGTAGGGCAAGGTGTGGGGATGGGACGCAGAGCGTCCACGTGGTCACCAGCCTGGCGGCTCAGAACCCCCGTGCTGCTGGGGTTTAGGGAGGCCCTCCTCACATGGCGTGATTGATTAAATCACTGGCCACTGGCGATTGACTTAATCTTTACCCCTCCCCAGGGGTCTGGGGGTAGGACGGAGAGTTCCAGCCCTCCAGTGTCTGCTTGGCCCCCTTGCAACCAGCTCCCATCCGGAGGTGGGGTCCAAAAGTCACCTCGTTAACATAGCAAAAGATACCTTTGTAGCCCTCAGCGCTTGGGCAATACCCAGGGTTTTAGGAGCTCTGGCCAGAAACAGATGAAGACCAAATACGTATTTCTTGCTATAAATCACAGTATCACAGTGACCGTGAATTTGAGTGTCTGGGCTTTTTGTGAGGCCGGGGGTGGTTCCCATCAGCCAGCACCATTCTTCTATACTCTGTTGATTAGAAGACTTTTTGAAAGTTTTAAACTGGCTTTAGGAGTCTGGTGGTCCATCTCATCCTGCAGGGCAGGAAGTGGGTAGACTGTCTTTCCAGCATTATCTCCAGAAATAGACTAGCTGGTAGGTTTGTGTCCTTTGCCTGAATCCCATGGATTCTGGAGCCAGTCTCAGAAGCGCGTGGGGAAGACTAGCTGGTTTCAGAGCTCGTTTCTGTGCATTTTCTACGCTGGACGGACTCACCTCTCCCTCTCTGGTGCCGCGAAGCCCCCGTTGCTGTTCTGATCCTGGGGCCCAGGCTCCACCTGCTGTGGTGGGACAGCTAGAGGAGGCCAGGCAGGGACAGAGGTGGAGGGCGGCATCCAGAGCCCAGAGGTGGCAGGAGACCGTTGGTCAGCTTTGGGTGGTGGGCTGGGCTCGCACACCTTCGCCCTTGGGGTCTAACCCTCTGCCTGGACTGTGGTGTAGACGCCTGGGTCCAGGACACCAGGAGGTGTGTGTCACCCTCCCCTGTAAGGCACAGGCCTCCCGCCTGGGCTGCCCAGCCCTCCCCAGCCCCGTGTGATCACACCGCAGGCCTGGCAGCAGGGGTCGCGGAGCCCAGAGCAGAAGAGGGAGCTGGGCTGCTCTTTGGGCCCCTCTGGGTGGGTCTCTGAGGGGGACGCTGGGCCTGTGGACCTGGAGACGGAGCCCCACGTCTGCCTCAAAGGGGTTTCCAGCTGGAACTTGGCCTTTCCTGTGCATTTGTTTGCCAGCACGTGGTTATGGAGGGTTTGCAGCGTCTGCTGGGCACAGCCAGGCAGGAAGGACCAAAAAGTAGAGCTTGGTCACACTGAAGAGGTGTCCCCACGTGGCTGTGAAGTTGGGCTGGAGATGAGCAGTTATGACATCACAGGGCAAGACTTGTCACAAGGACGAGCGGGCCACCCCCAGCAAGAGTGGGCCCGTCAGCGTGTCCCGGGATGCCTCCCGAGGCAGGGGCCCAGGCGAGTCACAAAGCCTTGCTGCCTTGGGCCCTGCCCTGCGCCCAGGGGCCCAGGGGCTCAGACGCCCAGCGTCGAGGGGGCTTGTTGGCCTCGTCCGGGACAGCAGCTGTGGACCTGGGTGGGTGCTTCCCCACCTCTTTTTCCTGCACTGGCCTTTCTCCTGAGCTGTTTGTGCCCGAGAGAGGTTGGCACAGTGAGCCCAGAAGGTGCCACCAAGAGGGACACCTGGGTCCTCTCCCTGGGGTCCCCTGTGTGATTTCATTGAAGGCGGGGCCGGGGGAAGGCAGGTGGGTGGGAATTCGAGGGCCCCAGACACTGCTCTGCCCTGAAGTTCTGTGCTCTGGGCACACAGGACATCGTAGCCACCGTCTCTGGCCCTCCCGGCCCACTGCAGAGGCACAGAGGAGCTGCCCTCCCGGCCCTGTACGGCTGCTGGTGGTGCCTGGAGCCTACTTCTAGGAGCCTGTAGCCCCGCCCTCACCTGTCTGAGGCTCTGCGGCTTCTTCCAGGGACAGTCACATACGCGTGTGGGTTCGTTTCTGCTGAGTCCACTCTCACCCCTGTGGACCCCAGAGGGGCCCACAGCCTGCCCCCCACGTCAGCACATCTGCCTGGGCTGTGATGAGGCCGCTGGGGCTTGCTGGTTTTTATTATGTCAGAGCTTTTGATGCTCTCAGGGGGAGGTTTTGTGTATGTAAGACACTTCCCAAAGGTTACGGTTACTTTTTTTAATTTAATATTTACATTGTTAAAAATCTAGGAAATTGGTTCGTTTCCCTTAAGCTTTCAATTTCACCTTGTGTGTCATTGTGGCTCTAACAAGTTCTGTCACTTTAAGGGAGTAGATTTTTCTTCCTAGGCCAACTTTATTGTTGTGTCATTTAATATAACGTGCACGTAATTAAAACGTACGGCTTATCTACGTGCCACAACTAGGTGGAGGTACACACTGAGTTTCCTCTGAGGGCTGCGGTCAGTCTGCACTGCTGGCCACAGGCTACCACCAATCTGTCCCCACAGGCCCTTCTTGCCTGTTGTGCAGTGTCATCCAGCATGCGCCCTTGTGTCTGGCCCCTCCCACTCGGCATGATGGTTTTGTGGCACCCACGTTGCCGTGTCTGTCAGTGGTCATCCTGGTCCATTGCCAAGGGGTGGTCCACCGTGTGGACACGCCACAGTTCCTTGATCCATTATCTGTTGGTGACGTTGGGATGTTTACATATATATACACATATGCATGTGTAAATGTGTAAATAAATCAATACATGTGCAATATTAACATATTTTGCCTATTTGTAATGTGTAGAAATATAATGTATTCACAGTACTGAAGCACAGAGGCAGAGGACTGACGCTGCCTGGCTTCAGGCCTGACCGTAAAGCTGTGCAGTGGTGGTCAGGACAGCGGTGCTGGCAGAAGCCTGGACAAGTAGAGAGCCCAGAAGTAGCCCCACACAGAGAGGAGCAAGGCAACTCAGTGCAAAGAGGAGGATTTTCAACAAAATAATCTAGATACAGACCTTACACTTTTCACAATAATGAATTCGAAATGGATTATAGACCTAAATATAAAATAGAAAACTATAAAACTTCTTGAAGAAAACGTGGGAGAAAATCTGGTGACCTTGAGTTTGATGATGCCTTTTTTTTTGGGCCTTGCCGTGAGGCATGTGGGATCTTAGTTCCCCGACCAGGGATCAAACCCGCGCTCCCTGCAGTGGAAGTGTGGAGTCTTAACCACTGGACCTAACCACTGGACCGCCAGGGAAGTCCCAATGACTTTTTAGATAGAACACCAAAAGCATGATCCATAGAAGAAAAAGCTGATAAGTCGGACTTGATTAAAATTAAAAACTTCTGCAAAACATGCTGCTGAGACAAAGAAAAGACAAGCCGCAGGCTGATGGGAAATATTTGCCAAGCACACATCTGATGAAGCATCTGCATTCACTGTGCAAAGAACTCTTGAAGCTCAGCGGTCGGAAAGCCAGCAGCACAGTTACAAACCGGGCAGAAGGTCTGGAGGAACACCAAAGAGGACACAGGTGCATGAAAGGATGCGCTCAGCACCACGCATCAGCTTGCAGACGCCACTACACACCTGCTCGAGTGGCCAGGATTGAAAACACGGCAACGCCGGGCGCTGGCGAGGACCTGAGCAACAGGAACTCTCATCCATCACCGGCAGGAACACAAGTGGGGCAGCCGCTTTGGAAGATGGTTGGAGACTCTCTCAGAGAACTAAACATAATCCAGCAGCTGTGCGCCTTGGTATTTACCCAGAGGAGCTGAAAACTTAAGTCCACACCAAAACATGGACATTTGTGGCAGCTTTGTTCACAATCACCAAAACTTGGAAGCCACCAAAATGTCCTTAGTGGGTGAATGGGTAAACAAACTGGTACCTTCATGCAATGGAATATCATTAAGTAATAAACAGAAATGAGCTATCAAGCCATGGAGACAGAGACGAAGCTTAAATGCATATTGTTGAGGGAAAGAAGCCAGCCTGAAAAGGCTACATACTGTATGAGTCCAACGCTGTGACATTCTGGAAAAGGCAGAACTATGTGATGGTAGAAAGATCAGTGGTGTCCTGGGGCAGGGGAAGAATGAACAGATGGAGTGTGAGGCTCTTGAAACTGTTCTGTTGATATTGTAATGGTGAATGCAGGACCCTGTGTGTTTGTCAAAACCCATAGGACTGAACAACGCAAAGAGTAAACCTAAGTTTGCAAAGTTTAAAAATCGTTTAGGGGCTTCCCTGGTGGCGCAGTGGTTAAGAATCCGCCTGCCAATGCAGGGGACACGGGTTTGAGCCCTGGTCCGGGAAGATCCCACATGCCGCGGACCAACTAAGCCCGTGCACCACAACTTCTGAGCCTGTGCTCTAGAGCCCGCGAGCCACAACTACTGAAGCCCGCGTGCCTAGAACGCGTGCCCTGCAGCAAGAGAAGCCACTGCAATGAGAAGCCCGCGCACCACAACGAAGAGTAGCCCCCACTCGCCGCAACTAGAGGAAGCGTTCGTGCAGCAACGAAGACCCAATGCAGCCAAAAATAAATAAATTTTTTTTAAAAAGTCATTTAAGAGTTGGAGGACCCCAAGAAGGAATGCAGACTGAGACAGGAGAACCTACAAAAGGTGCTGACCTGAGTCACTCTGGAAACGAGTGGGGTCTGGAGGCCTGAAGGCAAGGGACGTGCACACAGCACTGGGCTCTAGTGGTGAAGTTGTCTCCCGTGGGGCCTCTGGGTCAACAGCCGTGTCCCTGCTGTACACGTGCGCTGGGACTGGACAGGAAAGTGCACGGATGCTGGGGGCCGGGAGTCTCACCCCGGAGGAGTGGGAGGTTACAGGCGACCAAGGGGCGAATGATCCGTGGATAACAGATGCTGGTTGGAGACGTCAGTGAGAACTCACGTTCAGTTTAATGTAGAGACAGGTGGTTACACACAGGAATATTTGTAACGTGTGTGTATGCAAGGTTGGCACACACGTATCTTGTTGCTCTGTCAGCCGAGAGGGCCCAGTGGCAAGGAGTACACGGGCCCCCAGATCTTGGTTCCTAAGAGCATTCGTTCTCCAGTAAAGGAACCAGGCTCCCTAGACAAATGGCCAGTTGCAGGGCTGGGACAGGGAACCCCCAAGATGGGCCTGGAGCATCTTCTAGCACCAGAAAGTAGGGAGGTGCTCAGAAACAACAATACAAACCTCCACAAAGATGGGGTGTGTCAAAGCAGTACAGGAGCCAAATGAAAGCTCCTTGTGGCCAGAGCTGGAGCAATTTGAGCAGCGAAATCAATCAAGTATTGAATTATAACCCAGCGCGTAACGCCGGTGCCCACAGATCTGGGCTGATGTAAGAAATGACCGAACACATTAGTGAATCGGGGAGCGGAGACAAACCTCCTGCACAGAAGGTTTCCCATCAGGTTGCAGAGCTGCTCCCTGCCAGCTGTGCGGGGGCAGGGGGGCTCCCTCCCGAAGGCGAGGCGTGGAGGGGACCCGACAGACACACCTCTGCCAGGGGGTCAGAGTCGGCACCAACAATCAGAATCGTGTTGATGGCCTGTACCCTTGATATGATGTGAAGATGGTCCTTAACATCTGTGATCTCACTTCCAAAAATCCTACAGCCCTGATCTAATCATAAACAGTCCTGATCTAATAAAGACAGCCTTCATTAAGGGGCATTCCACAAAATACCTGGCCGGTGTTCCTCAAAACTGTCCAGGTCATCAGAACAGGGCCAGTCTGAGAACCTGTCACAGGCCAGAGGAGCCTAAGGAGACTTGAGGACTGTCATGTGGGGCCCTGGATGGGGTCCTGGAATAGGAAAAGGACTTTAGGTAGAAAGTAAAGAAATCTGAAAGAAAAAACTGTGGACTTCAGTTACTGGATCAGTGTTGGTTCACTGACTGTGATAGCTGTCCCACGCTCATGGAGTGTGGGAAATTCTGTACTATCTTTGTAACTTTTCTTTTCTAAAATTAAAAGATTGTTTGAAAGTGTAATTTATTTGCTTTCCCCTAAAAGTCCTTCTGGGCGACAGATTTTCCCACATCATCCCTTTGGGGCGGGAGGGTGTCTAGCGGCCCTTTCACCAGACCCTGGAAGGGTGACCGTTGCCCCCAGGGCAGCCTCGCCTGCCCCCCGCCCTACCGCTGAGTGCCAGGGAAAGGGCTTTGCGTCCTCAGACCTGCTCCTGGGGAACGGTGGCCTCGGGCGTCCCGTGAGAAGTGCGTCCGTGCACAGCAGCTTCACGTGCAGTCACCCAGGCCTGCGAACGCGAGACTGTGAACCCTTGTGGCATGACAGTCCCCCACGGGCGGGGTGAGCTGGGCCCGCCTTACTCCTCCGTCATGGGCAGGGGTGCCGTGTGTGTCTGCGTGGTTTTCACTCTGTCTCCTGGTGGGTTCCTGCTGGGACTGGATACGGTGGCCCCACAGAACGAAAGAGCTACTAGTGGGGCCCCAGCCTTGTTGGAGCGGGAAACCATTTGATCCTAATAATACCTTTCCACCTTAGGGCTTTAGTGAGCTCTGGATCATCCTGTATGGAATTTTAGGGGTTTTTTGTTTGTGTGTTTTTAACGTGCCACACGTCTTAGTGACGTGGCTCTTGACGGTACACATGACACAGCCCAGTGGCAGGGCCTTCTCCCCGGGTTGGTGCTGCCTCTGGGGCCAGGGTGGCAGTGCTGGGCCGCCAGCCTCTCTGCGGCCGAGCCTCGGCGCTGCCCTAACCGGGGGTCAGGGGCCGTCCCCGTGGTGGGCGCCTGGGGGTCCCTCCCACCTCCCGCCGCGGAGGAGCCAACCCAGAGCTTGGCGCTTCCGCACACTGAGGGCTGTTTGTTCTTTATTTGCAGAGGTATTGTGGCCAGTATTTTGGTTTTCTTATGTTTTGGAGTCACACAAGCTAAAGACGGGCCATTTTCCAGACCTCATCCAGGTAACTTGCCATTTCTTTCTCCGTGTGTGCCCGTGTGGCCGTGCTGTTCTGAGGGTCACTCTGTGTCTGTGCTGCTGCGTGTGAGTGCCTGTCCCCCCTGGGGCCCCTCCCAGCTGGCTGGCTTCACTGCCACCTCGAAGCCCCTCCTCTTTGGGCGCTAGCCCCCAGGGACCCTCCCCCGCCCCCGCTCCTCCCCCGTCCCTGCCCTCTCTGTGCTAGTCAAGGGGGTCTCCCTGCAGGCGGAGGCGCCCAGAGGTGCCAAGTGTGCTTGGCGTGGCCTCGAGCTGGTGGTTGTGCCCCCCGCTGTTGGGAGGCTCACAGGGCACCATCCGCACCCCCCCCCACCTGAGTCGTGGGGCCCTCTGGCAACCCCTGGGACATCCCCTCACAGCTGGAGGGGCTCCAGCCTGTCTGGGCTCCAGCCTCCCCGAGGGGCCGGCTCCGGGGCAGGGGTGGTCAGTTTTCCTGAAGGGTCTCAATTTAGTAACGAGTTTCTATCTCAGTAAGGGTGTGTATTTATCGAAGACACATAAAGTATTTTTAAATATTTAAAATAACGAAAATAACCACCATTAAGATTTAATGCGTGTGTATGCGTGTATACGTACACAGGTGTAAAAACAAGAAGTCGGCATCATACTGTATGTGTGGTTTTGTATCATGCACTATTCACCTCAGGCTTAACACATGCATATCCTTGTTAATTTTTCATTGGAGAACTGGATTTTTGATGGCTCCTTGTTTATCATCATTTGTTATCATCATTTGAATGTACTACAGTTTACTTAATCAGTCCTGTATGATTGTATACTTGGGGGTTTCCAATTTCGTGGCAATAAACCAGGCTGTAGTGAATTTCCACATGTACACCTTTGTGTACCTGTCTGATTATCCATGGGACCAAAGGTCCAGGGGATGTAGCAGATGAAGGGCATGAGCATTTGGGGCTCCTGATGGGTGCTACCCAGTTGCCCCCTAGAAGGGGCGTATCTGCCCAGGGGCCAGCGAGCCGGGCGTTGTGAGCGAGGCCCCCGTGGGGCTCTGCCCCCTCATATGCCTGGTGGGGACGTTGGTGCTGGGTGAAGCCTGTGTGGTCCCTGTCCCTGGGGCAGCGTGAGCTTCCTGAGCCGAAGGGCACGGCCCCCACTGGGGGTTGGGGAGGGGCTGCAGGACCTTCTCCACCATCTCCACTGGTGTGGACCCGTCCAGTCTTGCCTCAGAAGGGCGTGGACTCTTAACCAGAGCAACGGAAAAGTGAGCTGAAGTGTGAGAACCACCAGAGTCACAGTGAGAAACCAGGTGTGTTCATTGCTCCTCCCACAGGCTTGGAAGGGAGAACAGGAGCTGCCAGAAACTCCCCAGAGGCTGTCGGTGGGTGGGGGCGCAGCGAAGTTCTCGTGGGCACCCGGCACTGGACGAAGCCGCTAGCAGGACAGACGGGGCCCTGCCCGCGTCATCCCTGGGCTTCAGCTTCAGGAAAGCTCCATCTGCGGCTCTGAGCGGTGTGAGTGTCAGGCCGGCTCCCCCCTCTGGAGCGGGCAGTGCCGCAGTTTCTGAGCTGACGTTCTGAGCGTGGCTCTGCCTTTCCTTAGTTTAGTTGCTGTGCTCACACCCTGTTTCTCTGCCAGTCTCGGCTTAGTTCACGTGGGGACCTGCCCCAGAGCACCGTCCAGATGGCTTATTCACCTGGTAGTTGGCAGGAAGTCCTCAGCCTCTCAAATCAGATTACGGCAGGAACGGACTCCACAAAGGAGGCGCCCTGGGGTCTCTGCGTGCCTCCCGCCCTCCTCTGGGCCCGGCTCAGGTAGCCACTGGGGGAGCAGACAGCCGACCTGTGTGGGGCGTTGCTTTATTTGGAAACGAGTTGGCTGCAGCTCCAGCTGGGGCTGCCACTAAAGAGGCCCCTTTGCCCTCGTGAGCGGCTCCCTGCAGAAGCTGGAGTAGACAAGGACGTTGCAGGTGCTGCCGAGGTGGCCAGAGTTGATGCTCGGGAATAAGATACGAGTGCGGGTCTGGGAGCAGGGCAGCCCATGATCAGGAGCGCCCGGGGTGGCTGGCGGAGAGCCGTAGCTGCGGCAGGGTGTGGGGACCCTGGCCGTGGGGAGGGGCGAGGGCCCGCTGCCCACGTGGGGGAGACAGGCCTGGGTCCTGGTGGGCTCTACGGGGTGCTAGTGGTGGGGAGCCTGAGCCGAGTGGGGGTGGCCGGGGGAGGGGCAGCGCAGCCTTCATGGGAGGAGGTGGCTGGCCCTGCAGCTGGGCAGCCACACTCGGCCACCCCAAGTCCCTGCTCCACAGCCCTCGACCTGCTGCTGCAGCCTCGAATGAGGGAGAATTTTCCAGGTTTTTCCTATCTTCAAGGGCACGAAGAATAAGTCTGTCATCTCGGCTGTTCATGTCTGTTGTCTCGGAGCACGTTAGCCCACCTTCCCAAGAACTCAGCCACGTTTGTGTTTCCTGCCCGTGCGAGGCTGGATTCTCGTCAGTCTCCGGGGCGGATTTTCCCCCAGCAAGCGGGTTAGGCCCAAGCCCTGAGGGTGCCGGGCTGGCCCCGGAGCCTGGCGTGTGCACAGTTCTCACCCTCTTCTGGAACAACAGGCCCCACACCCCTGCCACTCACCTGCCCGGCCTGTACCCTGGGTCCCCACTGAAGCGAGGGCGGGAGAGCGCGTGGTGCTGTCACAGATGACCTGGAATAGCTGTGGAATAGCCGTGGCCAAACCTTGTGTCTCCAGTTTGTGAGCACGGCTTATTTTTTTAAATCACGGTGAATTAGCTTTTAAAAGTAGGCTGGTGGTTTATTTTTTCTTTACAGACATAAGCATAGGGTAAGCAGATATCTTATTATTTATTTATTTTATTTGTTTTTTAGCTGCATTGGGTCTTTGTTGCTGGGCGCGGGCTTTTCTCTAGTTGCGGCGAGCGGGGGCTACTCTTTGTTGCGGCGCGCGGGCTTCTCGTTGCGGGGCACGGGCTCTAGGTGCACAGGCTTCAGTAGTTGTGGTCCGCGGGCTTCAGTAGTTGCAGCACGTGGGCTCAGTATTTGTAGCGCGTAGGCTCTGGGGCGGGCGGGCTTCAGTAGTTGTGGCTCGCGGGCTCTAGAGTGCAGCCTCAGTAGTTGTGGCGCACAGGCTTAGTTGCTCTGCGGCATGTGGGATCCTTCCGGACCAGGGATTGAACCCATGTCCCCTGCATTGACAGGCAGATTCTTTACCACTGCGCCACCAGGGAAGTCCCCTTAGGCATTTATTAAACAGGATTCCGAAGATTTTTGGAAGATAGAAGTTACCGTTGGCTTTTAGGACAGTTCTAGACCTTCCCCTTCCTGTTATCTCATCCCCCAGGGACTTGAGAGTATGGAGAGCAGATGGTGAGAGAGAGGAGTCCCGGCCAGTGAAAGGGGTTCTGAGGGACACGTTCGTTCTTTTTTCCAGCTTTATTGAGATAGGATTGACACATAACATAAGTTGGAGGTGTACTGTGTGATGATTTGATACACGTGTGTTGCATACTCTCCAGTATGGTTAGTTAACCCCTCTGTCATCTCATGTAAATCTCAACTTTTTTTTTTTTTTTATGGTGAGAACATTTAAGATCAACTGTCTCAGCAACTTTATATAATATAGAACCGCCAGGTGTAGTCACCGGAGGGACAGAAGTGCTGACTGAAACTTAAGACAGTTTCCTAAAACAAATCGTCATCCCAGGAATTCAGAGATGGTTTAATGTTGGGGAATGTGTTAATTTCATTCATCACATTAACACTAAAGGAAAAAATTGATCCTCGTAAATGCGGAAGAATAAAGTATTGTATTCATTCATGATAGAAACACAGCATACTGGAATTAAAAGGTTCTCTTAACGTGACGAAAGGTATCCTCCAAAACCCTGCAAACTTACTTAATGATGAAGGTTAGAAGCATCCCTAGGAAACACAAGACAAGGATGTTTGCTGTCACTGCTCGAATCTGGTGGTTTGCGGGCCTTCTGTGCTGCGGGAAAGATTAGGGACGGGAATGGAAGAGAAGGAAGGAAGAACAGTCAGAGAGAAACTGCTCAGCCCTGAGTTAGATCTTGCTTCTGAAGTCTCTCCCAGGGGCCTGAGAGCCCTGAGCAGAGGCCACGCGTGCGGGAGCTGTGTGGGGCGGGGCCGCGGGCCGCAGGGCGGCGCCCCCTGATGCCTCTGTGTTCTCTGTGTCTGTACAGCCTACTGGAGGTTTTGGCTCTGCGTCAGTGTGGTCTACGAGCTGGTGCTCATCTTTATACTCTTCCAGGTAAGCGGGTCTCTTGGTTGGGTGAACTGTGAAAGTGGAAGTGGCACAGAACGCTCTGCGCATTGGCCCCCAGGGCTCTGGTAGGAGGCTGGACCCCACCCGAAGGGGGCAGGGGCTGTAGGGGTGGGAAGGCGCCAGCCATTGTCTGCGGCAGAGTCTCCGTTCTCAGCGCAGCTGCCGCGTGGCCGGGGGACGATGGGTTCAGACGTGGACGCCTGGCGGGCGCTCCAGATCTGAGCAGGGCTGAGCACCTCGCAGGGGGCACACCTGACCCCGCAGCACAGGCGCTCTGAGCGTGGGTAGTGGGCCCAGGACCAGTCGCCATGGGCCTCGTTTCTGGTTTTGCGGGTGACCAGCTGTGGCTTTGTGTGCTTTTCTCCCTCTGTCACACATTCTGCAAGGGGGTTGGGGTGGAGGTTGGAAACTTAGCTCCTCAGTAAATCTTGGATCAGGATTTGTTGCCGCTAACATCTGTCTGACTAATACTCCTGTTCTGCTGGACTTATCGAGCTCGCCTTTGAGGGTGGTCTTCAGTATTCACAATCTCAAAACAGTCTGCGATAGCTGAGTGATTTATCATCGCATGGGAAGGTTTGCATTTCGGGTAGGCATGCAGGGCTGGGAGCTGTAACACCTGTTTGTGTTTGTGTGGACACCACAGTTAGGCACAGAGCCCCGGGCCCCCTCGGGTGCCACCTCCGTGGCCCTGGCCTCACAGTGGCCTCGCAGCCGCCATCTGTCCCTGCATCACCGCCATTTGTCTCTTGGAAAGTCTCTTGTGAGTGGAGTTGTGCAGAGCGTGGCCTTCACTGCCTCTGAAACTCAACCAAGCCGTGCGCACCTACAGCCGGTCCTCTTTATCGTGGATGGGGTTCCTGGTGGAGGGACCGCCATCTGTCCATTCACTGGGCTTGTGTCTGGTTTGGGGCAGGTGTGCGTGGAGCTGCTCTGAGCCTCAGGCACAGGCTCTTGTGTGGACCTGAGCTTTCATTTCTTGAGGGTGGACACTCAGGAGGGACTCCTGCATCATAGGTTAGGTGTCTCACTCCCCGGGCAGCTGTGTCACGCCAGCACCCTCTCTCATCCTTGGCAGTACTTGCCATCATCAGGATCTTGTATTTTAGCCAGTGTTTTACGGATTTCATTGCATTTCTAGAGTGGCTGACGATGTTGACCAACTTCTCCTGCATTTATGAGCCAAGAAACAAACATCCTCCTCGGTGAAGTGTTTATTTTTTGCCCTTTTTAAAAATCGGGTGGTTTGTTTTTGTAGTGTTGAGTTATGACAGCTTTTTATATAGTCCTGGTTACAAGGTCCTTTGCTGGATGTGCTGGGCCTTCGTTCTTTAGCAGTGGCAGTCCTTATGTCTTTTCTTTTTGTGTTTTTGATGTCATATCTAAGACTTCTTTGTCCAACACCAATTTATTAAGATTTTCTCCTATACTTTCTTTTAAAACCTACCTGCTTTTATATTTTACACTGAGATTGCTTATTCACGTTGAGTTTCTTTTTACATTTTGTTTTGGAGCGATTGTAGATTCACAGGAAGTTGTGAACAAATTGTACAGGTAGGTCCTGTGTTCCTTCACCCAGGTCCTCAATATTTTGCACAAATGTAGGACAGTATGTGTACCTGAAACTAACATAATATTGTAAGTCAACTATACTTTAATTTAAAATATATATATATATATAAGACAGTATCAAACCAGGAAACTGATATCAATGCACTCCACAGAGTTTGTCACAGTTCAGTTTTACACGCATGTGTGCACACACACGTGTGTATGTAGAATACTGTGCAATTTTTTTGGGTTTTTTGCAGTGTATTTAATTAAAAGTATTTTTTAACTACAGTAAAAAAACACATAACATAAAATTTACCGTCTCAGCCATCTCTAGGTGCACAGGGCGGGGCACGAAGCACATTCACATGGTTGTGTTACCTTCCCCACCTTCATCCCCAGAACGTTCCGTCTTCCCGAACGGATGCTCTGTCCCCATGAACACTCACTTCCCTCCCCTCCCCTCCCCTCTGGAATCAGACAGGATTAGTCCTTCTGTGACTGGATTATTTCACTGAGTGTAATGTCCTCAAGGTTCACCCTGTGTAGCCTGTGTCACAAGTTCCTTCCTTTTTAAGGCTGAGTAATGTTCCATTGTGTGTTTAAACCACATTTTGTGTATCCACTCAAATGGATGGACACTTGGGTTGCCTCCACCTTTTGGTGACTGTGAACGTGGGTGTGCGAGTATCTGTTCCAGTCCCTGCTTTCCATTTCTTTGAGGACACGCCTACAAGTGGGATTGATGAGTAATTCTGTTTAACCTTTAGAGGAGCTGCCAGACTGTTCTCCACAGCGGCTGTACTCATTTTACAGTCCCTCCAACAGTGCACAGGCTTCCAGTTTCTCCATATTCTCACCAGCACTTGTTATTTTCCTTTTTGGGGTGGGGAGCGGGGTGGTGAAGTGGTGAAATATCTCGTAGTTTTCCTTTTTTAAAATAAATTTATTTATTTATTTTTGGCTGCGTTGGGTCTCTGTTGCTGTGCGCGGGCTTTCTCTGGTTGTGGCGAGCAGGGGCTGCTCTTCATTGCGGTGCGCGGGCTTCTTATTGCCGTGGCTTCTCTTGCTGCGGAGTGCGGGCTGTAGGTGTGCAGGCTCGGTATCTGTGGCACATGGGCTCAGTAGTTGTGACTCGCGGGCTCTAGAGCGCAGGCTCAGTAGTTGTGGCGCACGGGCTTAGTTGCTCCACGGCATGTGGGATCCTCCTGGACCAGGGCTCGAACCCGTGTCCCCTGCGTTGGCAGGCGGATTCCTAACCACTGCGCCACCAGGGGAGCCCCTGATGTGGTTTTGATTTGCATTTCCCTGACTGCTAGAGATGCTGAACATCTTCTCATGTGCTTGTTGGATGTCTGTATGTCTTTGGGAGACCAGCTTTTGTTCTGGTTGATTTTTTTAAATGGTTCATGTTTTGTTTTATTTATTTAAAATAAACTTTTTATTTTAAGACACATTTACAGGATTGTGAAGTTAGTGCAGAGAGTTTCTTCACCCAGCGTCTCCTGTTATGAACATCTTACACTAATATGACGCATTTGTTACAATTAATCATTATTAACTAAAGCCCACACTTCCTCTCAGGTTTTCCCCCCTCCTCTGCAGCACAGGACCCTCCCCTTACGCGGGTCTTTCATTTCTCTCAGCAACAGTTCGTGGTTTCGGAGCATATGTTCTGCGCTTCCTTTGTTAAATGTATTCCTAAGTATCTCACTCTCTGATGCTGTCCTGAGTGGGACTGTCTCGATTTCATGTTGGTCTGCTGGTCGGTGGCGTCTGGACACGCAGCCTGCTTGCTCTGTCGGTCTGGGTCCTCTGTGCCTGCTCACTCGTTCCCACAGCTCTGCTGCTGTTCGGGGGGTTCCTGAGGGGGTCTCTGTGCAGGGGTAGGGGGAGTTCACTTCTTCCTTTCCAACCTGAGTGTCCGTCCGTCCGTCTCTGGCCTCACACTGTCCCCCACTTCTTAGCGGGGAGCCCTCAGCCCTCACCAGACGCCCCTTGTCAATCGAGGCAGTTCCACTCTTCCTAATTTGTTGAGTGTTTTTTTCAGGAGAGAGTATTAGATTTTGTTGGTTGGATGCTTTTCTGCATGAAATGAGATGGTCATGTGGTATTTTCCCTTTATTAACATGTTTTGTGTTGATTCATTTTCTCATTTTGAACCAGCTTAGCATTCCTAGGATAAAGCCCACTTGGTTGCGGTGTATGACCTTTTGTATATGCTGCTGGATTCACTTTGCTAGTATTCTGTTGAGGATTGTTGCATCCATATTCATAAGAGACACTGTAGTTTGCCTGGAATGTCTTTTTCTGATTTTGGTGTCAGGGTTGCTGGGGGTTTGTCTGGTGTTTCTGTCGCAATGTGACACATGATTCTGACCGTCGGTGCTGACCCCGACCCCCTGGCAGAGGTGTGTCTGTCGGGTCCCCTCCACGCCTCGCCCTCGGGAGGGAGGCCCCCCTGCGCAGCGGGCGGAGAGCAGCTCCATAATCCGATGGGAAACCTTCTGTGTGGGAGGTTTGTCTCTTCTCTCTGACTCACTAATGTGTTCGGTCATTTCTTAAATCAGCGCAGACTCGTGGGTAGGTATCTACGTTATACTTTGGGTTACAATTCAGTACTTGATTCGTTGCTCAAATTGTCCCAGCCTTGGCTGCTGGGAGCTTTCCCATACCCCATGTACGTGGATTCTTGGTGTTTTGTTTTGGGTTTCTGAGCACCTCCCTCCTTTCTGGTGCTAGAAGACATTCCAGGCCCATCTTGGGGGTTCCCTGCCCCAGCCCTGGAATCTGCCATTTCTCCAGGGAGCCTGGTTCCTTTATTGGAGAACGAATGCTCTTAGGAACCAAGATCTGGGCTCTCTCGACCAGCAGCGCGGAGCCCTGTGGGTCCTGACCAGTGAGTCTGCAGATTTATAAATGGCCGGTTCTGGGAGGCCCCCCTGCCCAGGCTGCTGTCCTCTCCCAGAGCCATGTCACGAGGGGTCAGTCAGCCTCCCTGGCCTTTGCTGGAGTGGAGGTTCGTGGTCTGGCCCTCTGGGCTTGGGTGACAAGCTCTCAGCTGGGACCGGAACTGACTTCCTTGGGTCACGTCAGCCCTCAGATGCCCTGAGATGGAGACTTGTTACAGTGCTGTTTTTCGCTTCTCTGAGGGTTGAGTGTCCAGGGATCTGAGCCCCTACTGACCTGGCTCCGGAGCAGAGCCCGTGGGGCCATCCTGACTCGGGAACACAGCGGTGTCGCCCTCAGATCCCGTGTGACCAGGGCACATGTGGTGGTGGGGGGTTCAGTTGTTCGTGGTGTCACCTCAGTCATGTGACAAGATGCAGGTCTCAGTCATCTGTCCACACACACCACGGACCGCGTCTCGTCACCCCAGCCTAGAGCCTCTTCCCCGCTGTGCCCTTTCGCTGGTACTTGGGGCAGGAGCGAGGGGACAGGGTCCTGATGACAGGCGTCCCAGGGTTGCCTCCTGTGGACCAGAGGCCCCAGCTGGCGGCCAGTGGGGGCCTGGAGGGAGGAATGGGGGGGTCCTCTTCTGCCAGGGTACACCCCCGAAAGCCCACTTTGCGCCGAGGCTGGAGGGCTGTTTGGCTAACGCTGGCGTCTGGGAGAGGCTGATGGGCACCGCGTGGAGAAGCGTGTCCCACGGTGCTGTTCCTCGGTGTGGGGTCTGGACCCTGAACCGGACATAGGGAAGAGAGGTGGGGAGACTGGTGATCTGAGCGCCTTCCCACGGGAGGTGCCCCTGCGACGCCACGTGGCGTGGTCCTGGGGTCCCATGGGGGTGTGAGGACATCCTCGGACTATCGGGGGCATCCCTGCTCTGCCCGGCCCGACGTGGGGGCGATGCCGAGACAGTGCTTCCCCTCGCAGTTGGTGGGTGCTGTCCGCGCACCCCAAACCCCGCCCCGCTGACATGCCACTGCCCTTGCAGACCGTCCAGGACGGCCGCCAGTTTCTCAAGTACGTTGACCCCCGGTTGGGGGTCCCGCTGCCGGAAAGGGACTACGGGGGAAACTGCCTCATCTATGATGCAGACAACAAGACCGACCCCTTCCACAACATCTGGGTAGGTGCCTGGAGGGGGACGGCCGGCCTCATGACATGGGGGCCCCACCGCCTCCCACGCGTGAAGCTCGGCGCTGCCCCAGGCATGGATGTTTCTGGGACCCGAGTCACTCTGGACTGGATGGGATGAGGGTACCAGGGGCCACGCTGCCCACACACGGGGATGCCTCTGGCTGCGGCGGGGTCCCTTCCCAGCTCACGACGGTGGACCGAGCGCAAGGCCTGCCTCTGTGCCCCACAGGACAAGCTGGACGGCTTTGTGCCCGCACACTTCATCGGTTGGTACCTGAAGGTAGGCACCTCCTCGTTGGGCGGGGTACCTGGTTTCGGAGCCGCCCTGAACTCTGGGCCGTTTTCCAGCCGTGTGGTGGGTTGCGGCCGCGGTGCAGGACAGGCGGACTGCCGAGCTGGGGGGCCTGACCCAACCTTGCGTGTCCTGGGTGTTGCGGTGGCTGCCGGAGAGCAAAGGGGAGAGACCCACGGGGGGTCCCCGGCCCCCATCCCACCCTGCCCTGGGCACCCTCACGCCTGGACACACGAGTCGTCGACATACCTGCAAGTTGCCTCAGAGTCGTTTTTTTGTTTTTTTTTTAAATAAATTTATTTATTTATTTTTGGCTGCGTTGGGTCTTCGTTGCTGCACGTGGGCTTCCTCTAGTTGTGGCGACCGGGGGCTGCTCTTCGTTGCGGTGCGCGGGCTTCTTGTTGCAGTGGCTTCTCTTGTTGCAGAGCACGGGCTCTAGGCACGCGGGCTTCAGTAGTTGTGGCTTGTGGGCTCTAGAGCGCAGGCTCAGTAGTTGCGGCGCACGGGCTTAGTTGCTCCGCGGCATGTGGGCCCTTCCCGGACCAGGGCTCGAACCCATGTCCCCTGCGTTGGCAGGCGGATTCTTAACCACTGCGCCACCACGGAAGCCCTCAAAGTCTTAACTTGGGGCGGCCGGAGCCACAGCTGCCCTGCCGCCGCGCCCCACCTGAGGGCAGTGGGGCGGGGGTAGGGGTGGGCTGTCCTTGGGGGATCCCGCGCGAGGGGCTGACACCCTGGCGGCCCGCAGACCCTGATGATCCGTGACTGGTGGATGTGCACAATCGTGAGCGTGATGTTTGAGTTCCTGGAATACAGCCTGGAGCATCAGCTGCCCAACTTCAGCGAGTGCTGGTGGGACCACGTAAGTGCCGCCCTCTGCGTCCGGCCAGCCACAACGGGGGGGGGGGAGGGCCGTTCGACCTGGGGACCCGTGGCACCCAGCTCCCTCCCGCCTGGCTCCCGCCCCCAGTGGATCATGGACGTGCTCGTCTGCAATGGGCTGGGCATCTACTGCGGCATGAAGACCCTCGAGTGGCTGTCCCTAAAGACGTACAAGTGGCAGGGCCTCTGGAACATTCCGACCTACAAGTACGTCTAGAGAGCCGCCCCGCTCCGCGCGGGCCTTGACCCCAGTGTGGGGCCTGCAGGGCCCCCCCCACCCCGAGGTCATTCCGTGAGGTGCTACAGGCGAGGACCTTGCCTCTGTAAACTCCACCGAGGATGTGGCTCTGGGCGCCGCCCTCGTGGCGGCCGGGACGCCGGCCCGTCCCCATCCAGCCCCCATCCAGCCGGCTGCTCTTGCTCCCTGCCAGCCCTTCTCGGGGCCGGCCCTTCCCAGCCGCCGCCCTCTGTGAAGCAGCAGAGCAGCAGCCCGGGGACAGGCCGGGGGCGGGCGGCGGGCGGCGCGCGTTGCCCGGGGCTGACGGCCGGCTTCCAGGGGCAAGATGAAGAGGATCGCCTTCCAGTTCACGCCCTACAGCTGGGTCCGCTTCGAGTGGAAGCCGGCCTCCAGCCTGCGCCGCTGGCTGGCCGTGTGG